GCTGTGGCACAAGAGATATCATTGCTGATGTCAGCTGAAAGCAGAGAATACCGTATAAAGATATTTGCATATGTTTTATTGACTATGCAAAAGCATTTGACTGTGTGGGTGGACTCTAACATATTATTGCTAATACTGAGAAAAATGAGAATCCCAGAACACTTAACTGTGCTCATGCAAAATGTATGCATACCCCACAGCTGTCCAAACAGATCAAGGAAATATGTCATAGTTGAAAATTAGGAAAGATGTGCATAAGGGTTGTTTGTATCCTTTCTTTGTACCTATTCAAAGTGTATGATGAAGAGTCATCAACAATCTGCATTATGCAGATGATACAACTTTCCTTGTAAAAAGTCAAGAGTACTTAACAAAAAAGGTAAAAGAATACAGTCTTCATTATGGATTACATTTCAATATCAAGAAAACAAAAATGCTCACCAATGGACCAATAGGCTAACCCTGTGTTAGATGGAGAAAAGATTAAATAAAATTGTCAGTAAGCTTACTTTTTTAAATGGATCCACAATCAACCCCCACAATAATAGTAGTCAAGAAATCAAGACATTGGAAAATTTGCTGTCAATGATGTCTCCATTTCCAAAGCACTGAGACACAATGATGTCACTTTAAAGACTGAGGTGTAATTGATCCAAACATTAGTATTTTCAATTGCTTCCTGTGAATATGTGTTGAACAAACATTAAAGAAGACTGAAAAAGAACAAATATCTTTGAATTGTAGCAAAGAGTACTGAATATACCATGGACTGCCAAAAGAAAAAAAAAATCAATCGAACTTGCAGGAAGTGCAACCAGAGCGTTCTCTAAAGGCAAGGATGGTCAAACTGTGACTCACATTTTTGAGCATATTTTCAGGAGGAATCAGTCCTTAGAGAGATAGATCAATTTGGAAAAGCAGAGAGTTAATGAAAAAGAAGACGACCTTCTATGAGATGGATTAACATGATGAATACACTTAGCTTGAGCACAGCAGAGTATGAAGCTAGTGCAAAACACAGAAAGGTCCAGGTCTGTTGTTCATATGGTTGCCATGAGTTGCTGTCCACTGTATCTACCAACTATAAGCAATATATACTCTCATTCCTAATATTTGTGTAAGTATGGCTTAAATCCAAAGAAATCAATGCATTCATTTATTGCAATGATAAGGAAAGCTATTGCTCTCATTACAAGGACAAGAGTATTTTTTAAGTTCCACAGAGGTGAGGATGAAGATTATAGCATTATGATATGGGAAGAAAGGTAATTTTTATTTTATAGCAAAGGCAAAAAAGTAAAACCCAAGAAGGTAAAAATTAAAAATAGCTCTTCTTTTAAATAAAATTCTTTAATTTTGATGTTAACAAAAGTTTACAGAAAAGTTAAGAGTTGTCATTCATTTATCGTCACAGATTTTAGCCCCCCTCCTTCCTTTCCCCCTTACTCAGTTCACATTTTTGCGGTTTTTTTAAATATTCATCTACTTTTGTACAATTACTTTCCTCCCTCATCCCTTCAGTCCTCTCTACAATGTACCTCTTATTATGGATTGTTGTTTTAAATATAATGCCTAACCATATAGTCATTTTAAACAATTCTTTCCATTGTTTATTCCAGTGCAAAGTTCATTATCTAGCCACTCTTATCCTATTCTCCTCCCATACCCCCATGTCAGACCTGCAGTGGTATCATGGAAGGTGGTTTGGCACTTTCTCAAAAAGTTGGAAACAGAAATACCAATTGAACCAACAATGTTATTACTGGGGATAGACCAGTAGTAAATTCTGAATAAAACATAACTCCCATCCAAATAGATACATGCACACCCACGTTTATTATTGTGTTATTTATAATGGCAAAGAGATGGAAGCATCCCAAATGCTCATAAAGAAATGAATGGATAGAAAACCTATGGTATATTCATACAATAGAATACTACATAGCACTGAAAAACAATGAACTCATAGAACATTAACAACATGGATACCCTGCGGGACATTATGCTGATTGAAATATCTCAGTGACAGAAGGACAACTATTGCATACCACGACTGTTATAAAGCTGAAAAAAATGGCTCTTTTAAGGGGATAGGCATGTCCTCTAAAAACTTTTTTAAAAAAGAAGTTTCACAAAGGCCATATGTAACAATAACAGTGAAAGATAATGCAACAATAACAACAAATACATAAAGTAAAATCAAAACTAGTAAATTAATATAATATGAAATTTTCAAGTGGAAAATTCAGAGACAGCAAGCACTTAACTGTGCCCTAAATGAAACAATGTACCAAGAAACATATTTGTCTATATTTCTTATATTTTTAATAGTGTAAGAAGTAGATGCTTGAAGCTGAATAAACTATATAGAAGAATAAAAGGGGAGGAACATAGGGGCTCTCATTAAAAAGAACTACGGGAGCATGAGGCACAGTGGTGCAAGTGTGCTAACTCTGTCTATAATTTATTCTTAATGTTCTAAATGGAAATGGAACTTTCACATACATATGACATTAGCTTGACAGTCTAATTCTGAGTCACTCACCTATTACTGAGTAGTTGACTGTTAAAACAGAAAGAATGATGTTCCTTTTACTGGAGTATATCCAGTAAAGTAACATCTTTATGCTTTCTAGTACTAAGTTAAGTGTTATTTCTCTGTTAGTGCATTCTTAACTACCTTATAACTTCTGAAGTGGACTGAGATTCAAACAATGTGGACTTATTTGGGGTTTTTATTTTTGTTTTTCCACTGTTCTGCCTTTAACACACACACACACACACACACACACACACACACACACACGCCAACCAAAAACAGCTCCTCAAAAGTCCATATATCAACACTTAATTTTTAATGAGTCTTTTTTTCACATAAAGTTTAATATATACTTAAATACATGGGGATGAAAAAGAGTAATCTTACCCTGGTATGTGTACGAATGTGCATCTTTAATCCATCATTTTTACTGAATCCTTTCTCACAGTAAGGACATTGATAGGGACGTTCACCTACAAAGAAAGTATTTGTTAGAAACACAAAGTAGCAAAGCAAGCACTGTGCCATCATCTTCATTTACTCAGATTCTTGCCACCCACATGGCTACAACAATGCCTACATGCTACATTCAACAAGTGGCTCCAGGGTTCCCCTGAGAAACAGCAACAAGGTGCAGTGAAGGAGAGAATGACTGGGCCATTCCTACTGAGAGGGAGCTGAGCCCACTGTAGTTTCAGTACTACAAAATATAAAACATTAACCAGCAGGTTTGCGACAATATTTTTTAAATTTGAATCCAAGATAAATATCCTAATTTGAAGAATTTGTAGCAAACATTTTATAGCAAACATTTTATCATTTTTCAACTTGCTCTGTTTTCATACTTTTAGTGTTGTTGTTAGTTACTATTAAGTCAGATTTGATCCAAGATAAACTATAAAACAGCAGAATTAAATGTTGCCTGATTCTATGCTAACCTCAGGATATAACCATCACTGGTACATTGCTGTGGGACTGTGTACATTAGAGTGCCTTCTGGGCTCATCTTACAGAATCGTATTGGACAATATTATGTTGAGATTCAATACCCTCTTAGTGAATAATTATAAAAAACAAACAAAAAGATTGTTTAAGTGTTCTTAGTCTGAAAGATCTGCTGAGATTTTTCCACCATACACATGAAATATTAATGTAATGCACACCTTCCAGCATCACTGTAAACACCTGAGTCACTAGAAATACAATAAAATGAAAGATAGGTGGAGATGTTCTCATGTTACCACTATATGCCATTGATTTATAACAACTTTACAATTTAATTGGTCTATTGAGACTTCTTTTTTTTTAAGATTTCACATATTATATGTTAGGATGATGCATTCCAAAAATAGTTTCATAAAATTAATGTCTTTTAAACAAAAAGTGTGTTTAAACTAAGTAATAACTAGTCCATATTTTTTGATAGAACAGGATGGCTCATACATAGAGGTTACAGTTTAGAGAATCACCAAAATTATTTTTAAAACATGTAAGTATTCACATATATCACATTTTAAAAAAATTCTATTATTATATCACAAAAAAGATGAGAAAACTCTGAAGATGTCCTCAAGTCAAAACCTTTTGAAATGAACAATATTAACAAAAATTTAAAAGGGAAAAAATTATGACAACATTAAAAGAGGTCTTGTAATAAAGGAACATACCCAGATTCACAGTTGCTTCCTAATTGTGAGCACTATGAACCTCTGGACTAGGTATATGGATTTCCTGACAGTGTCAGAGTCCTGACTTAGGGAAAAACAATTTTTCATAACCATAGTCAAAAGGATAAAGGTGTAGTGCCCAACTGAATTGAATGTTTATGAAAATTCATTCTTATTTCAACCTTAAATTGATAGTACTCTAGGTTTCTTTATCAAGTTTTAGACTCCAGAATTCTGCGTATTTATCAGGTATTTTCACTTGCATGCATCATGCTGCTGCTGTGGCTGTTAGATGTCATCCAGTCAAGTATGACTCATAGCAATCCTACGAACAATAGATCTGATCCCTGTCCTATCCTGTACCATTCTTATCATTCCCCATCACATTCGAGCCCATTGTTGCAGTCATTGTATCAACTTTTTGAAGGTCTTCCTCGCTTTTGCTGACCCTCCAAGTGTGATATCCCATTCCAAAAAACAGCCTAACAATATGACCAAATTATGTGGACACACATTTTGCCATCCTTGCTTCTTAGTAGCATTCTGGTAGCACTTTCTCCAAGATACACCTGCTGTTCTTTTGACAGTCCATGGGCTCTCAAATTCAGAAGTCATTATTATTCTGAGTCCATGATCTTCGTCCTCTGCTCCTATGTGTCTTGTATGTCCTGTCCTTCTTAGTAGTGCCACATTCATACAGTTTCTAATAATAAACAGGAGACTCATTCAAGATTCCTCAGTGTTCTTATCCTTGATAATGATAAACAATCTCCTCCTCCTCCTCCTCCTCCTCATCATCACACTAGCAGAAGTAGCATCTCTTCTTTTTTCTTCGCAACATTAGCCACATGCTGTTGGGATCCACAAAGTCAAATGTCTATGCATAGTCAGTAAAACACAAGCAGACATCCTTTGTATATCCTCTGCTTTCAGTCAAAATCCATCTGCTATCAGCAATGATAACCCTAGTGCCACAGCCTCTTGTAAAGCCTGCTTTTATTTTTGGCACCTCTGTCTATGTATTGGTCTAGTCATTTTTGGATAATCTCCAGCAAAATTTTGCTTGCATGTGATATTAGTGACATTGTTCAATAATTTCCACATTCTGATAAATCACCTTTTTTTTGAGAATAGGAATAAAACATGGATCAGCTCCAGTCAATTGGTTATGTAGATGTCCTCCACATTTCTTGGCACAACCTAGTGAGCATATCCGGGGTGTCTATTTTTTGAAATATGTCAAGTGATAGTCCATCAATTTTTCTTGTGGTTTTGTTATGTGCTGTTGAGTCACGTGCAACTCATAGAAATCTTATGAACAATAGCCCTAAAGTCTGTTCTGTCCTGTGCCACTCTTATTGTCTCTGACACATCTACCCCTTTACCCCAGTCACTGAATCAATCCATCTCATTGAGGGCCTTCCTCTCCTGTGCTGTTCCTCCAGCCTCACAAGCATGGCATCCCTCTCCAAGAACTGGTCTCTCCTTACAACATGTCAGGAACCTTGCCTCCAAGGAGTAGCCTGGCTTCACCCTCTCCAGGATGAACCTGTTAGTTCTCTTAGTAGTCCAACACTCTTCTCCAACACCATAGCTCAAAGGCATCAATTCTGCTTCTATCATTCCTAGTCATTGTCTAGCTCTCTGATGCACAGCAAGTGACTGCAAAGATCACGGCCTGTATCAGGTGTACCTTAGTCTCCAGAGTGACATCATTACTCTTCAGTATTTTGGAGAAGTCTCTGACAGCAGACTTTCCCAACGCAAAAAGTCATTTAATTTCCTGGCTGCTGGTGCCAAGAGTGTTGATTGTGGAGCCAAGTAAGCTAAAGCTGTTAACAATCTCAATTTCTTCACCATTTATCAGGATGCTGCTCATCAGCCCAGAGGTGAGAATCTTTGTTTTCTTGATTTGAGCCTTAATCCATATTGAAGGGTGTAGTGTTTGATCCTCTGCAGCAATTGCTTCAGGTCTTCCCCAGTTTCTGCAAGCAGGGCTGTGTCATCTGCATAACACAGACTGTTGATGAATCTTCCTCCAATCCTGAGGCCACATTTATCCTTATAGACCCCAGCTTCCCAGATAATCTGTTCTGCATATAGATTGAATAGGCATGGAGATAGAACACATCCTGGCGTACACCCTTCCCAATTTTGAACGATGCAATGTTCCCTTGCTCTGTTCTGATGACTGCGTCCTGGTCCAAGTAGAGGTTTCACATAAGCACAATCAAGTGTTCTGGGATTCCCATTGTTCTCCAAGTCAGCCACAGTTTGTTATGATCCACACAGCCAAACTCCTTTACACAATCAATGAAACACAAATGGACATTCTTCTGATACTCTCTGCTTTCAGCCAAGATCCATCTAACATTAGCTACAATATTCCTAGTACCACAATCCCTTTTAAACCTAACTTGCACTTCTGGCAGTTTTCTGCTGATGTGCTGTTCCAGTCATTTTTGGATAATCTTCAGCAGAATCTTGCTTGCATGTGATATAAATGATTTCCACCCTCGGTAGGATCATCTCTCTTTGGAATGGCAAGAAATATAGATCTTTTCCAGTCAGATGGCCAGGTGGCTGTCCTCTAGATTTCTTGGCACAGTCTGGTGAGCACGTTCAGGGCAGGGTTCTGAGGTAATGTACATAATAAGGTCACTATAAGTAGAAGGTGATTTGACAGCACATAACAACAAAAAAATAACAAGTAATTTTTATTTATTTGAAAGCTGGGAGTAAAACATTTGGGCATTTTTTAAAAAATCTCTTAACAATCAAATGTACGCTGATTGGCTGTTTCTGATTTTGTCAGAAATCAGCTGTAGGCTGTAAGCCTCTTGTTTAAGCAATTAATCAGGACCTGATAGGTGGGTCTTTTGATGTACAGTATGATTAAAAAAGTATATTAAAATATTAAGGGGTCTTTTTGGTAAGTATAATTTAATATTCATAGGTATTTATGGCCTAGTGTGTAAGGAATTGTGTCGCCAACCCAAAAGACAGTAAGTTCAACTCCATTAGTCTCCTTTTCAGAAGAAAAATGGGCAATCTTCTCCTGTGCTATTTACAACCTCTAAAATCCTGTTGCAGGGTCAACTATGAGGGGATTCTGACTCAACAAGAATAAGCAAGATTCATTCTGTCTGTAACTCGTTTCTTTATGTATAGTATTGCTCTCAAAATACATAATAATCATAAAATAAAAGCAATGTCTTTTGCCATCAGATAATTAAGCATTGATCAAGTATTTTTTCTTACTAATAAAGAAAGCCAGTTGAGCAATGTGAAATAGTTACAGAATGCAAACATCTTAGAGAATATAATAAATTCATTGCATATTTTATTTAGTGTCATCATATAGAAATTGCTTCTACCAGTATTAGAACTTCTACTGTTGCTATTATTTTTAAGTGACCATTGAGTTGTTGCCAAGTCACAGTGACCCTATGAAGGAAAGACCTGAGCACTTGTCCATAGAATTTCCAGAGGCAAGCCATTTGGAAAGTGGATGCCACTCCTGCTTCCAAGCTTGTTTTAATTGGGAAGCTCCACCATG